CCCGTGCTGCAAGACGAGTTGGTGCACGAGGAATAGCCGTGGCAGCCCGCTTCCCTTTCGCTTGAGATGGTGCAACAGTCTCAGAAACACCCCCTCGAGAAGAGCCGGCAGCAAGTTTGTCTTTAGATGCTTCTATCCACGTCCCCACCCAAATGATAAAACCTCATATAAGTAGAAACCTTCCTCAAAGAAAGCTCACACACAAAGAAAGAAATGCGGATATAAAAAAGGACTTATCTTTCCTGAAAAAATGATCTCTTATTCTATTAGAAAAAGCTTGCTAGAAATTGATTTTATCAAACTAACCAAAAAACAAAAAACATTGTAATCCTATTTCTAATATTTATCCCTAACAAGATAAAAACAAAAATATATTCATAAAGAAAATAACGAAGTAATAAAGGTCCCTTAAAATTAATATTGAATCCATCAATCTCTTGATATGTATCATTTTCCCCTATTTGGAGAAAGCTCATTCTCGAGTTTTGAAATAAGTTAAGATGAAGTCTATGTCAGTTAACTCGAATATTATAAACACTATCTTAGGGTTTGCGGGTTACTACACTAATCAAAACATAGTGATCGTGCATTGAAACTAAGAAACCCTCGAGGAAAGGATCATTGTATGTCAATAAAATATGTTCCGCCACATATACTTATTGAAATTGAATCAGTTCATCCATTTAGCCCTGCTAAATTTGTCAAGATTGGAACACATCACGAGTGTATCTTTAATATTAGTGTTAGATTCTAAGACTGAACCGATAACTTCACATATCTATTCTCCTTTGAGTGCTTCAACTTTTTCCTCATCAAATATCAATTCAACCATGAAATCTTGATTATCATCGTAGATCTTATTTCGTACGAAATGTTATTCTTCACTTAAATATGTAACAAAAACTGGTGGCACATCTACAACTTGCTGATTTTCGATACGAACTAGGCCAAAATTAACCTCGTTCTCTTTCAAATCATGTAGATCAACTAAATCCTAAGATCTATTTTCCCGAACATGAGGCTTCAGACGTGGAGCACATGCATAGATCGGGTTCTTGAATACAGCTTTTGACTTACTACCGTTAATCATAGTGTGCCGAGACTGGTTTTGCGCTAAACGCTGGGTCAGCTCCTCAACTTGCCTTCTCATATTTTCTAACTAAATATTTTGAATGTCTCGTTCTTGCTGGACGGGCTTATTCCCGGTATTCGGTTGTTAACCATATTCATCAACCATGATGCCTTAGTGATGAACACCAGGATCCACAAGAACCGATGCTCAGATACTAGCTCACGTATATGAAAAATCACAAGCATCCAATAACCAACGATAAAGTTACGTTTTAGAGAGAAAAAAAACAATATAGAAGATATCGCAAGAAGGCACGATAACAGACAGTTGAGACCTCCTACTGCATACTTGTAACAAGAAACACACAAAAAGAAAAGAAAAAAAAAAAATCACAAAGGTTCTCTCTCTCTAAATTGTTGATGTTTCCTTTTTCCTTTCATCAAAACATAACCATCTATTATAATGGGTCATTTTCATTTTATTCACTTCCAAAGTCTCCTAAAATATTTGCCTACTAAATAATAACTAACCAAACAATATATTGCCTTTAGATGCGTTTATCTACATCCCCAACTAAATAATAAACCCCATCTAATTAGAAACCTTCCTAAAGTTGACTTAAACAAAAAAGACTTTCTTTCTCATTATCTTTAAAAGTAACTTGCTAAAAATTAAACTTTATCAAACTAACCAAAAAAGAAAAACATATTAATCCTATTTCTAACAATTATCTCTAACAAATTAAGTCTCCTAAAAATTTAAAATAAAAACATTACGTCCATCCATCTGCATCAATTCCTTTGGTTATTTTCTTCAACAACGTGCTTATTGGTTGGGTTTCTTAATCGGGATGCCTACACCTGGTGTAAGTCTTTTCATTATTCGGTTCCCCCTTGGAACAGAGCGGTCAAAAGCATGGTTTTAATCTCAATGTAGTGACCCTCCTCGAATGATGGCCTCGCCAAGTTGACAGCCCAGGCCTTGCCCTTGTCTTTAGGCCTTGACTTGATGTTCATTACTTCAATCTAGAGGAGGAATGTTGATTACTTCATTCTTCAATCTAGAGGAGAAGGCATCATTTCGACGGACATGCCTTTTACTCAGTGTTTTTAAAATCAAACCGGAACGGTTAACTGAAAAAGGAGCCGGAAGTGGTTTAATCAGTGTAATCAGTAAATCGGTCGATTCAACCATTCTAATGGAGCACAATCCATGCAGCCAAAAAATTGTTGACAAAAATGAAAAATATGCAAAAACAAATCTACTAAAATAAGAAAAACATATAAAGAATGATTAAAACAAAACACATTCAAATGAAGTTGAAAATTAATGAAAAAATAGATATTAAAGTGAGTATTAATGAGCAAAGCAATTTTAAATATTTAACATAATGTAAAAAATATTAAAAAATGTATTACAAATCAAATTCCTTATTTCATATATTTTATAGATAGTTTTTTGAATTTTTATTTTTAAAATACCGGCCGATCACCAAAACTGCCCAAAAAAGAACCGGCAAGGGGCCGATTTTTTTCTGTTTTTTAGTATCCATATAGTATTAAAATAAATCTACTATTAAATTTAGGAAAAATACAATCATTACATAAAGGGTAGAGCCGAGGATCTATACAATCAAAGTAAACTGCACATTCAAATAGTGTCGAAAAATGTGGTTTCAATACTAAAAATATTTGTGATAGTCTTAAAATATATTTTTATCTTTGATTATAAAATTTAAAGCTTTAAAATAATATAGATCGTGCAGATTTATGAAAACATGAAAATCTTGAAAATTAATGGTCCAAAATTACGTTAAAGATGAAAATATAAAATTTAAAGCTTTAAAAATAGTATAGATTGAGCACATCTATGAAAACTTAAAAATCTTGAAAATTGATGGTCCAAAATTACGTTAAATTCAATGTACACCGTGCTTGATGCGAGTGCTACAACTTCCAATTTGAAAATAAGAAATCACCATGAAGAGAGAAAAAATAAGAACCGTATTGAAAGAACAGAGAAAGCAAGAAGTAAAAAACATGAATGTTCATGTTAAGACAAGAACGGCTTTGATGTTGTTCCACGGATAAATTTGTTATCTACATGCCACTCTAGTTATGACAAAACACCCATGAACTTTGCTAATTAACACCTTTGTCTCAACTCTATGGCATTTTGTGTGAGAGGATTGTCTTATATATTTATGTTTTTAATGTATAAATAGTCACACGAGGGAAGAGGTCCTCTGCTCATGCCCATATTAGGAATAGAACTCAAGGCATCACATCCTCATCACAATGCCTTTTAAGTATCATAAAGAGCAAAAGCATGGGCGAGAATTTAATCCGATAAGATTTCTTTAAAAAAATGATAAAAATCTGCATGAAATGAAATGGTTTCAAGGTTTGCATATCGAATACCATTAGCAATAAGCTATCATTAAACAATTCAAACCCCACAATAGCATGATGCAATTTAAACCAGTGTTTTAAAAACCGCGAGTCGAACCGAACTTGCCCGGTTCGACTCGGGTACAGGCACAGCCCGCGCCGGTTCCGATACAAAATTGGGAACCGCCCGGTTCTAGAGGAGAACCGCCGGTTCCAATCCAGTTCTACCCGATTCCCTTCCTGCACGCATGCGACACGCCCCTGCACGCGTGCGACACGCACGTACCCGTGTACGACACGCACGTGCACGCATGCGACACGTGTGAGATTACCCTAATATTTCTACACAAACATATTAATCTATATTACATAGGTATTTATATACCAAAGTAGAATACCCATCTTTCGATATGGGATAATTCCCAAACATCATTAAATGAAAAGGGAATTTAAATATATTCTATTAATCATCAAGTTATAACCGCATATGGTGAAGTGTCATGGTGGTTAAGACCTTTGCTTCTTCATGTGACCTCTCAAGGTCGAATCCTCCCGTGGGCGTTATTTTTGTGTTGTATAGTTTTTGTTGTATATATTGTATAAATATTTTTGTAAATAATATAAAAAGAATAAAAAATGAAAAATAAAAAGGTTAATTTTTTGTATAGCAGTTAATTTTTGTTGTATATAGTGGTATAATTATTTTTTTAAATAATAAGAAAGGCATAAAAAAAAAAAACATAAAAAACTTATCCTATTTGAAATCTCTATCTTTCTACTCACAATCTCTTTCACTAAATTTATTATAAAAACCTAAAAAAATAATTTTTTTAAAAATTGAAGTGTTATTTCCAAAACTTTTACGCATTTTATTAATTTTTACATTGATAACCAAATCTCTTATTTTATTTATTAATTTTTACAATATAAATCATGTAATGTACTATTTTTCTTATAGTTATCAATAATACATTTTAAATTAGATAATATTATAAAAAAATTTTAATTTGTTATTATTTGTCTAATAAAATAATTATAAAATGTAAACTAATAATTATAATTTCAATATAAAATATTATAATTAATTAGGTTTTAATAATTTTGGATTATAATTAGTTAGGCTGTAATAATTTGGATTTTTTTAGCAGATTAGGGTTTTTCGCCAAAACGAGATTTTAATGGCCATTCTTTCATTGATTAGTCTACTCTTTATAATAGTCCATGTATAATTATATATTTTACCTATGATAATTCTATGATTTTTCTTTTATGTAATGCAAATTTAATGGTTAACATAAATTTATACAGGGAAAGAGCATCTCAATATTCACAAATTAATGAAAAAAATGAAAGTTAATAATGTAGTACCTTCATTTCTTATTGGATTCTTAAAAAACAATATTTACAATGAATTTTAATAATTTTTTAAGATTTTTTTGAAGCTTTAATCCGACCGATTCAGCCGATTCTCGATCCAAATCGCCAATTCGCTGATCCAGATCGGTTTTTGAGATGCCCGATCCAAGTCACCGATCCACTCTTTAAACCATTGGTTTAAACAAATTAAGTTCATAATTCAGACAAAGTGAGTGATTTAAAACTGCTTGATATGGTTAATTTCAAGAAAGAAGAAAAATCTTAGACTAAAATATTCAAAGCATTATATATGAAACAACCATATCAAATATGGGTGTTGGAGAAGTTGGCGGCGCCGATTGGTGGCGGAAGCTCGCGTAAGTGGACATGCTACAATTTATGTACAGGGGAAGGCCAGCCATTGGGATTGTAGGTGAGCTCCAGAAGTGAATCCCTCACATGCTCTGCCTGTATAGCTTCGTTATCCTACATTGGCAACAACACAAGCACACCAATTTGCATTCTCAAAACCGGGAGGGAGGCGGCTCTGTCCCAGAGAAAGGATTGCTGAGACATACCTCGACTTTGAAGACATTAAGAACGAGGCTCATGTAAGTAGTGATACTAACGTGGATTACTTCGAGGCCCAAGGCATCCATGGCCTCCATTAGCCTCGCAAAACCACCACTGCTTTTCTTGCAAAATATCTTCAGGTTGAACTCATGGGCGCTTACTTGGTTCACCTCAACCTGAACCTAAAAACAAACAAAAAACAAATCACCATTCCTTATTTCACTATTAGGAGGTTTTGGAGATTAAGTAATGCAGAGAGATGAAGAAGAGAAGGAGCGAGTAGTGATATCTGCTCCGAGATCGGACATACCTCCATTTGCTGCTGTTGAGCCTTGTCATCGGAAGAGTCATTGTTGATGTTGGGGATATGCAGCAGGTGATGAGTAGTGGATGAGGATTCCTCAACCCGCTCCTCCATGACGTTCAAGCCGCCATGGTTGTTGCTATCAGAGGAAGGGGTCGTAGCCGAAGGAGCAACACCATCGCCTTCGTTCCCTTGCTGTTGCTGTTGCTGCTCTTCCTCAGTTGTCTCATCCAACTCCTCCTGCAGCGCCTTCACTAGCATCTGCAGCTCCTTTACATACTCTATGGCATCACCCAAGATGGATGCCCTGTCCATCTACAAACAATCTCATACCCACAAAATTACATATGTTTACTTCGAAAAAGAATGAGAGCATAGTTGAAAGATGAATAAAGGAAGATGGAAAAAAGACTGAAACAAATTATAAAAATGAGAGTTTACAGTTTGAAAAAAAAAAAAAAGAGAGAAGGGGTTGGGTTGTCTTGTTGGCCTGCCTTGGTGATCTTGGGCACGAGGGAGCGGAGGGCATAGAGCCTTTCACTAAGCTTCTTCCTTCTCTTCCTCTCAGCCACCAGGTTCTTAGACTGATGTTTCCTTCCAGGCTTTCCCTTTTATTCGTCATCATCCTCGCTGCAGTCAGAGATAAGAGTCACCCCTCTGCTCACCTCCTACGTCACCTGTGATGAGGATGATGTCGATTTAAGATTGGGGAAGGAGATTGGAGGCTTCATCATGTCATCTGAGAGCGTGGAGTCGGCAGAGCCATCAAAGAGAACGTTGTTGTTCCTCAACTGCTGTTGGCCATACGACCCCCAATCCAAAGGAGAAGGGACACCAGTCCATGGGGGGTGGTGATGGAAGTCCTTTTGCCTGCTGCCGAGCATTTGGTGGTGACGGTGGTAGTATCTTCTTTCATAATCTTCCTGTAGGTCTGTGGGGGATTGGGGCTCGAAACTTTGGTGGTTTCTGGCTAAGTTTTCCGATGAGAAATGGAAAGGTATTTCCTTTATGGCGGAAGATGAAGAAGAAGATATCATCATCGCTTCCTGCCTCTGCTGCTGCCAAGATTCTTGATGGAGAGGGTGTTCAAGGGGCCAATTTGCAGGCCACTGCTCCTCCATAACAAACTCAATCACCTCACGATCCTCTGATACCTATTGTTATCATATTATCAAATCAAACACTCTTGAGAACTCCTTTTTCGATATGTTTTTCTTTTCCCTAATTGCTTAAACTTGTCAAAATATCTGTTTTATATAATATAATATAATTATTTCGTGCATTTTCAAAAAAATAATAAAATAAACAAGGATGAAATGGAGAGGCCGTCGCCTTCTGAATTCCATTGTAGATGGAGTACAAAACAAAGAGTAAGACAGAGAAAGAGCAGGTGCTTCACATTATCACAAGCAAACAGCTCCACAAGGCCTCCTCCAGAAACCGGAATGAATGCCCTTGTATTATTATTATTTGTATTAGCCCCCACTTCCTGCACGATTAAACAAACAAAGAAACTGAATGCCATCTCTTCCAAAAACTAAGAAAGAATGAATAAGAGTATTATTAATACACTGCAATCCTAAACAAACAAAGAAACTGAATGCCATCTCTTCCAAAAACTAAGAAAGAATGAAGAAGAGTTGTATCAATACACTGCAATCCGTTAGGTGGGTGGGTTGAGTATTATTATTAATCCATCTGGCTTGCCCGGACAAAAGCACCTGTGCATAAACCCTGATTTTTTTTGACAGAATAAGAATTAAGGTGGACCCGAATCAATCGATCAATGAAATTGGTTGGTTAGGTTACCCAACAGCAGCAGAGTCCAAAGGGATGGAGGTAGGCGACGCCAAGAGAAGGTGGCAGGACTGGGTGGGTGGGTGGGGTAAAACTGTATCCCTGCAATAAAATTTAGATGCAAAAGACCCCACCAAACCATTCTCACTATGTCCATTTTCAGTAGCTCCCCCGCAGCAACACCCCACCCATTCAATACTCCTAAACATAAATTTTCAGATCAATCATAATTTATTTATAAAATATAAGTTTTCCCCAATTACAACAAAAACAGAGAAGAACCTCTCTCTCTTAGAAGCAACAATGGTATGAGCTCACCTCTAGTCGTTGCTGGGTTTCCAATACACACAGTAGTCCCAGCGCTTAGTAGCTAAAAGGGCTCTCAAACGCTCTTGGAAGTACCCACTGTTCATCTTTTTCCACCTCTCAACTCTTCATGAAAACAAAATTGCAGATTGAAGAATTAAACGTGCAAAGGAGCAGCTAAAAATGCAATTTCTCTCTCTAAAATAAAATTGTGGTTAGTAATAAGAATTATTAAGGGAATCTGGGTGATCAGAGGGGGTTTCAGAGTGCAATTTCTCTCTCTAGAATCTGGGTCATCAAAGGCGGGGCAAAGGAAAAGATGTTCATACCTGCCACATGAGCCTGTATAACCTTTCTTCTCTCTTTCCTTTTCCTTTCTATATTATTTGTAGGGGAAATAGATATATCATAGTTTGAAAGATCAAAACTCTCTTGGCGTTTCACAACAAGAGTAGGTTCTTGTGAATTGAAGAAACTCGAGGTGGGCAGTTAGTTAGTTTTAAGGGTGAGGAAAATAACAAATAAATAAATAGCCATGAGAGAGTAGGTGAAGAGTGGTGAAAGCGTGATCAAGAGGGAATTGAGGGGATTCCCTTCTTTTTGACCCCACCCAGTACCTGAGGGGTAGATTTGATCTGGGTCTCAGTATGGGCCTTTTAAACCCGATGGGTTGGGTCTCGGTCCAAATCTTGGACATGAGGACTATTGAGGTATGTGTCTAGGTCTGGTAATATTTTTTGGTTCATGATATATGAAATATATTTAAATAATACACAGATATTTTAATTTTGGATGCAGTTTGCATACGGATGCATTTGTAGGTGTAGAGGTAAGGTGCACCTTCAAATTTTATCATGGTATATAATTGTGATGCAAAATGTTCTTAGGATTATCTCAAAATCTATTTTTATATCTAATTATAAAATTTTAAATTTAAAAAATGGTTAAAATCAAGTAGATCTATAAACATATTAAAATCTTGAAAATGGATGGTGTAGATAATATATTGTAAAATACATTATTTCTAAGACTTAAAATCTTTTTATTTTTCATAGTCATACATCTCGATGTCGAGGTGATTAATCAAAGGGTTTTTCAACATTAAAACTACCTTTTTCGATGGATTTTGAGGGGCATCCGTAGTTCGACATTATAAGGTAGCATCCTGATATAAACTTTTTCCTTTAATTTTTGGGTCGCATCTCCATGTTCGAGTCTAGGTCCAGGTCCGACCAGACCGGACCTGACCCGATGCCACCCATATTTCTCCCGCTCCACTCTAGCAAAACCAAATCCGATATGTTCTTCATACGAGATAGAGAAATAATATTCAGAATTGGCAAAAGATTTCCTACTTTTTGGGGAGTATAATGTCTATTTACTCCACCTCTTAAACCCACTATTGGAATAATTTTAGAATCCCAAACTTTAGAGAAATGATATTTTCAATATATAGGCTAAACTCAATAAGAAGAATTTCTAAATTGCATTCTCTATGCCCTTCAAAAAAAAAAAAGGTCAAGATTGAATAGAGATCATCTAACTTTGGGAAGGTGAGATCTAAGTGATAGAAAACAATAATCTAATGGTTATTAGGTGGTTCCAAAATTTCAGATCTAAAAATCCTCCCAAAGTAAATCTTCTAATCAAGGGAGTATTTGAACAATGTACTCTCGTAGGAGAATAATATAAACTTAAAACTTTTCACATTTCTAGTCATTTTACGCCAAGGCCTTAGAATTTGGAGGTTTTCTGCATTCTCATTTCAACCCCAATTTTGGAAAATATAAATTTATGACATTTTCAAACCTCACTTTGAGGTCTGAAGGAACAAACGCAATATGAGAAAAACAAGCGACTGAAAGGGATGAGAGATCCTTAGCATGTATCAGAGAAGTGAACCATAAATGTACTCAAAAGAAAACCACCAGATCTGCTGATTTTCCACTGTAAAATGCCTTCACCCAAAAGAAAAAGAAAAAGAAAACATAGCATGACAGAACAAATCGGATTAATCCGGACAAGGCTCTCATACCATGTAGAGAAAAAGATTTATGTCTTGATCTTGTTGGAGAAGTTCCATAATCTATAAAGTAGTTGATGCATTACACGACCTCTCCAATAAACAAAAAAGGAAAGAAAATATCCTAAAATATGTGTAAGACATGCATACTTTCCATTCACACACAAAAAGTCAGTTCAAAACTTCTACCTTCGAACAACTTCCAATACCCAAAAAAGCAAAGTGCAGTGGGAAGTCTGATCTTCTAACTTCGAACTCACATATTACACTTGGACTTAGCTTCATTTGGAGTTTCTAGTGAGCGTTCTAGTGAGCATCCAAAGAAGGAAAAGCTACTCAATAAAACATTCTCCCTCACAAAAAAGCAACTCAATAAATCAGTAAATGAGAAGATGCAGATACCTATAGTATTCTGGGAGAGGATTTCCAGAAACCCATAGTAAAAAGCATTGATTATCAATTAAAGAGGCCATAATAAAGAGAGAATCCACCTTTTAGAAGTCATAACTTGGACTTGATTTTTTTTAAATAAAATAAAAATTACAGAGAAATGTTGAAGCCCATGACGCATTAGGAACTTGTTCCTTTAAGTCACTAAAAACAACCTCTTCTAGTGCAAAAAGAAATTGAAGTAGAAATTCAAAGATGTTCTTTCTTTTGGTAAATGAATTCTAAAAGGAGCTCATCCTCCTTTCTCAACAAAACAAAGCAAACCAAATGACAATTTATCAAATTCACAAATAATAAAACTACTTAGTGAAAATTTTTGAAATTAACAAATATAAACCATGGGTGAAAGATAGAGAGGATCAGAGCATCAAACAGCAATCAGATTCAAAGGCGTTACCCCATCAAATTTATAAATAAATATAAGCCAATGGTCCCTCTACAACAGTCAAACAATTTTGAGTTCAAAAAACACAACCTCTATAGAAATCGAACAATTTTTTAGTTCAAAGACTACAATAATTCATAGTGCAACAACAAATTCCATGAAACAACATCTCAATTCCACAGAAAAACATAATATATAACACTTACACCAGAAAATAGCAGAAAAAAGAAGAAAACCGGCATTTGGGAGGCCGAAATTTGAGTTCAAAGAATGCAAAAAATCACAGATAAACAACATACTCCATGAAACAGCTTCTCATACCAATAGCAAATAAAATCCAACATATCTCTGATAAAAGAGAATATAAGAAATCCTGCACAACAAAAATGCAAATTCATACCCAATAAAAGCAAAATAAAAAACAATTCACAAATCCATCATCCAAAAAAGTAAAAGAAAAAAACAGCAACTTTACTCCACCTAGAACCCAAAATCAGAAAAATACAAATGTCAAGTTACTAGTTATCAGAAAAACCCCAGTTGTGATAAGGGTGCATTGAAACTCTTCAATTTGGGCTTATTCATGATAGGGGTTCGATTTAAATTGTGATAATCTGAAATCACATAATTTATTTTTAACCAAACCAAAATTTCCTCTCCCATATGTAGTTTTCTCTTTCAATTTCTGTGATTATGATTTCCTCTCCTATTTTTGGTTATTCATTAGGAAAAAATGTAGGGTTTCATTGAAACTATTCAATTTGGGGTTTTTTAAAAAAAATGAGTTTCTCTTTTTAAAAAAGGGTTTTATTCTTGATTTGGGGTCGGATTGTTCGAGCAAAGAAAACATCCAAACGGGGATACAATCTAGAGGTCACTCACCCGTTTGTTTGCTGCAGAAGAACTTTGCCTAGTCCAGGAGCTTTACAGAGGGCAAAGAGAGGGCGAGCGAGAGAGCTGGAGAGCGAGACGTTCGCAGAGCTTTGCCTGGTCCAGAGCTCACGCGTTTTGCAGATGGGAAGAGAGGGAGAGCAAGAGAGAGGCAACCCTTTGCAGAGGCACAGCAGAGGAGCGGGAGAGCGAGATGTTCGCAGAGCTTCACGCGGGAGGAATGGTGGTGATTGAAAAATATGGTTAGGTTAGATGTTCGCAGAACTTCACGCGCGAAGGATGGGGGTGATTGAAAATATGGTTAGGTTTGAAGGCTTTTGAGGCTACGGCCTTTTGTTTTATTTCTTGCAATAGTTGTATAGTAGTATAATGCAATCATTTTAAAAAATTATGTTAGAGATATTTGTTTGATACAAATTTTTAAATGTATACTCCTTTCATTATGAAGAACAATCACAAAAAAGAAAATTTTGAAAAAATGCTTTAAAAAGTTTTCATTCTAGCCTAATTAATATAAGCCATCCATTTTATTTCGATGGTTAGATATAGTCCTCAAAAGCATTTTTTTATTCCCATAATGTTTAAATAGTGTTATCATCATTAGATTAATAATGTTAAAATAGAAAACAGTGATTTTGAATTTGTTAAGGCCTTGATCTTGATATTCACAAAATGGATGGTCGAGATTCATTGTTGGATGGGTACTAATTTTGACCATATCTAGCATGCAAATTGAAATTCTTTTTTCATAGGATTGATTATGATGATGCAGAGAATGTATGTGTAAAATTTGGGATCATACAAATGCCAAAAATATGGTTTTCTGGAGGTGTGGTTGCATTATACTACTATACAACCGTCGCATTGGATCATTTCCATATATATATATATATATCAATGAATTCATGCAACAATTGTATCAAAATATAATGCAACCACATTAAAAAACCATGCTAGAGATATTTTGTGACACAATTTTTTAGATGTATACTCTGTTCATTCTAAAGAATAATCACAAAAAAGAAAATTTCGAAAAAAAAAATTCCTAAAAAGTATTTTTCTAGCCCAAACAATATAAGGCGTCCATTTTAGTGAGAAGGTTAGATATAGGGCTCAAAAGGATTTTCTTATTATAGTGTTATCATCATTAGATTAACAATGCTAAAAAAAGAAAAAAGTGATTTTTAATTTGTCAAGGCCTAGATCTTGAAATTCATTGAATGGACGGTCGAGATTCATTGTTGGAAAGTACTAATTTTGACCATATCTAATGTGCAAATTGAATTTTTTTTTTTTTTTCCATAAGATTGATTATGAGGATTAATGGGCGTGCAAAATTTGGAATCATATAAATGGCAAAATCATGGTTTCATAAGGATTATATATATATGAAATTTCTATATATATATATATATATATGGAAGCCGATTTCCTAAGCTACTAGCTATAATGAATAGTATAAGCTCATCATCACTCTACCTACTACTACGTACTACTACGTACGTTACGTTACGTTACGTTACTTAACGTTACTTTTAACTTTTAACTTTTAACTT